ACTGGCCCAAGGTCACCCAGCTGGCTTCGTGCCTAAGGCAGGACTAGAACTCAGAGTCTCCGGGTTTCTAGCCTGGTGCCTTAACCACCACACCAAACTGGCTCTCACTTCAGTTGTACCTGCCCCTTTTCTTGTATGTCATTCACGTAGTGTGGTTTAACATCTACATGTCTCATATTGGGTCTGGACTGCTTGGTATCTGCATTTCTGATATATCCCATCTTATCCCGAAATAACATGGCTGGGTTGGTTCTTTAATTCAAAGTCTAGCAATCGTTTGTGCAGCCACACAAGTTCCTTGCGTGTTTGTTCCACAGCTCAGTGTTCAGCCTCTGTAAATTTTAGGACTATTGTGCTTCGCCTTTCACTGTCACAGGTGAGGGATGCGCCTCCGTAGAAGAAGTGTCCTATAGCTGGTGTCCTGTCAGATTGGTCCCCAGCCCAATCCAAATCTGTGTATAAACTTTGTATTATCAGTTTTAAATTAACGTCCATAGTTCCTTTTAAATCTCTGCCTAATCTTTTTACTGATGCCCCATCCTCTTGTGTTGGCTCCTGACCTTCCTACTCAGCAGTGCAACTGCCTTGGCTCTATCACGCCTACTCACAGTTCTGATGTACAGTCACTTTCCCACAGCAATTTTATACTGCTCATTACTTGCTTTCATTTCCTCCTTAAGTATACAACTTCCATGGATATACTTGACTCCCTTGCCTCATTGAGACCTAGAAGCTTTAAGTCTATTATCTTTTGGTTTTGATTGAGCAAGTACCCTCCACTTTTGTAATTTCAAAGATAGTGGCTAATATTCCCTTCTTTATATAAATTGTTCACTATTTCCAAATTGTCTCTTTTTGTCCTCTGTACTTACAATTAGATCATCAGTGTAACAGAACATGTACTGCATATGTGTCTTCCATGTTTTGTAACATTTTATTTAGTTTATCAGGCCACGCACTGGCTGCTTGTTTTAGCCTATATATGGATTTTTGCAACTGACAAACACCAACTTTTCTTTTTCTGGTTCTTCTCCCTTGGTGCATGTTTATCTCCCCTTTCAGATCACCATGCAGAAAGGCTCTCTTAATAGCCAAGGGCTCCACATGCAATTTTTGAAATGCTGCTACACTTAGAAGTATTCTGATGCTTGCATGTTTAACTACAGCTACAAAGCTTCATCATAATCCTGGCCAAATTTTTGTGTCACCTTTTGCTACTAATCTAGCTTTTATGGCATTATACTTTTCCATGAGCATCATGCATTGTTTTGAAAACCCACTTATAAAAATGCACTTTTTTGGCCCTTCTAGCTCTGCTAGAATCCATGTTTTGTTTTAGTGCAAGGATTCAATTTCTTTCCATGCATCTTCCCTCTGTTTTTGTGTACTTCTTTCCATGAGTTGTGATCAGGTACATTCCTTGTCCAACTGTGCAGCACATTCTCTTGCGTGTTTAGGATTCCTTTGTAAGATTTCTGAGAGCTTCATAATTCTACTTCTAGGTATCAACAGTCCCTTCTGAAAAATGTTACTATACAGTAGATAGTCCTCACTTAGTGACCACAATTGGGACCAGCAACACTGTCGCTATCCACTGAGGTCATTAAGTGAAACACCACGTGACCATGATGAATTTATGACCTCACTTCCACTGTGGTTAAGTGAATCATTTGCAGTCGTTAAGCAAGATATCACATGATTGCAACTTATGATTTTACTTCCGTGTTCTCCATTACTTCTGCTTGTCGCAAGCCGGTTGGGAAGCATGCAAATGGTGATCACACGACTGTGGGATGCTATGACAGTCGTAAATGCCTGCTGGTTGCGAAGCACCTGAATGTCTATCACATGACTGCAGAGATGTTGCATGGGTCATAAATGTGAGGACAGGTTGTAAAGTTATTTTTTCAGCACTGTCATAACTTTGAATGGTTGCTAAATGAGGTGGTCATTAAGTGAGGTCTACCTGTATTTCAAACTCCTCAGACTCATTTTCAGTTACCCCTTCTGATTGTGCAATATTATTATTATTATTATGGTTGGTCGCACAGTCAGCCAGATGTTTAGACTGGATTTGGCATTTTTATCCACCTACTGAATCCTTTCCAAGGACCTGGGATAGACAGATGTTGTTTGATGGTGTTAAAGGTATCATCGCAGGATAT